AAAGAGTGGAAATTGTTTGCTCAGTTTCTCACAAGCTGTGCTGTTCCACCAGTCAGGGAACGGTGTCATGAGGATGAGGAAAATAAACAACAACACCTTGACATTTAGAAACTTGTGGGCAAGTCTCTTCTTGTCTTTCCAAGGGGCAGCCACAGGCAGAAAGGTTGGGTGGAAAGAAAGCACAAACTGTAAAGATAACACACAAAAAAATGGTTGTTTTGTGGCTTCAAGGTTGGCCTTTCTGGAATGCTGCAACAGGCTCTGCAATCAACTGCTAATAGATGTCAAGTCATCTCGTGCTACAGGAGGACAACTCCTGATTTTTGGGAAGCCTCTCCAGCCAAATCTAGTGCAGATGATGAAAAAAAAAATAATGATGCAAGCCTGGCCAGCAGTTGCAGCTTTTTCTTTACTCTTTTATTTCCTTACATAAGCCTTGGTGTGGGAGGGAAACAGGAGCTGATCAAATGTAGCTGGCAGCCTGCTGAAGTGGTAGGTGTGTGACCCATGTTGTCTTACATACCTTAATGAATTGTGATGGTTAATTGAGAGAAGCAATAGAAAAATGAAACAAAGGAAGCCCTCGGGTGCCTCAGGCACTCAAAGCACCTCCAGAAGTGCCCCTGTGCTGCCACAAGCACTTTGCACACACACACATACGCACACACCTCTGCCCTCGCACCTGGGCAATCACACAACTATCAGGAAGGTTCAAAGAGCAAATAAAGCTTTGTAGAAATAACAGGTTAGAGGAAAATCGATTTAATCTGTGTCCACAGGTTCCATAACCTCATAAAGCTGATGAATTTTCAGCATTAGCATTGGGTTAGGAAAAGCCAGGATTTGGGGAGCCTGGTGTTATGGGATGATCTCAGTTGAAAGAGGATGTTTCCAGCCCTCAAGGTCACACTACTTAGCATTTCAGACAGCAGAAAGTAAAATCATCCAGTGGTTCTTGAAAGTAAACGACAGCACAAACCAGATGGCCGTGGAAGTGCTAAAAGCAGCTGAAATCTTCACCTCAAGGCTCAGTTTTTTTCTGTCAGGCCTTTGATTTCTCAATTCCTAATTATTCAGCATGAGGTTTGAACTGAGTGTAGGCTCCTAAACCTCACCATCAAACAAAGTGAGTATGTGAGGGCAAAAAAATGTTAAGTTTCTGACCAGTATTCTAATGGATGGTGCCTTTGGTCATCCCTGGTGCCAACATCCAGGGTGCCTTGTTAGCAAACACCCAGAGCCATCACTGCAGGTGCCTGATAATAAGGTTGGAGTAACTTTGAAGAGTTCAGTTCATGTTTGTTCAGTCGTGTTTGGTTGGCTCATTGGGCTGACCCAGGATTTTGCCCTGTGTTTAACTGTTTCTTAGGAGTGTCGTTGAGGCAGTATCCAAAGGAGGGCCTGGTCAGTGACAGGAGGAAGTCTGAAAGCTCACCAGGTCATAGAGTCATGGAATTGTTTGGGTTGGAAAAGCCCTTTCAGATCATCAGGTCCAACAGTTAAGCCATCCCTGCCATGGCCACCACTGCCCCATGTCCCTCAGCACCATCTCCAGGGCTTGGAAACCCCTCCAGGGATGGGGACTCCCCCCCTGCCCTGGGCAGCCTGGGCCAGGGCCTGACAGCCCTTTGGGGGAAGGAATTGTTCCCAAGATCCCAATTGTTCCTCAACCTCCCCTGGAGCAGCTTGAGGCGGTTCCCTCTTGTGCTGTTGCTTGTTCCCTGGGAGAAGAGGCCAACCTCCTTTCAGGGAGTTGTAGAGAGTGAGGAGATCCCCCCTCAGCCTCTTTTTCTTGGTGGCCATACAATGCTAGAACCATGGGCTGGTCTGGGTTGGAAGGGACCTTAGAGATCATCTAGATCCAACCTCTGCATGGGCAGGGACACCTCCCACCAGCCCAGGCTGCTCCAAGCCCCATCCAACCTGCCCTTCAACACTGCCAGGGATGGGGCAGCCACAGCTTCCCTGGGCAACCTGGGCCAGGGTCTCACCACCCTCATGGGGGCCGTGACATCCTATTCTGTCATCTAAATGTATCTCTTTCAGTTTGGAACCGTTACCCCTCCTCCTAGGGCTACAAGAAGTTCCTCGGCGTGTCCCCCTGCTGCATGACTGGGGTAGGACGCCAGAGCCACCAGCAGCCAGCCCAGCTCTCAGACTGGTTTCCAGCCCAGCTCTCAGACTGGTTTCCAGCCCAGCTCTCAGACTGGTTTCCAGCCCCCACTGCCACTTGTGTAAATGAAAGGAGGAAAAAAAATAAAAAATACTAAAAACCAACCATCCACCGTGGAAATTCACTCCTTCTCTTCCCAACGCCGTGCTCATTTGGCGGCTCGAACGTTTGCTGCGAAAGGCGTTTTGCGTTGAACCAACACACCCCTCAAGCCCTGCAGGGCCCACCAGGCCCTTCACTCCTCGGCTCTGCCCCTTCCCTGTGGGGCCGGCGCTGGGCGGAGAGAGACACCCCGACCCCCCGCGGGGTCTCCAGGTGTAGGGGAGAAGTCCCGGCGAGAGGTGGGGGTGGGAAACGGGGCGGTTTGAGGGTGAAAAGCAGCGGGGACGGCACTGGGACCCCCCAGACCAGCGGCCATGATGGCGGCTGGGGGGAGGTGCTGAGTCACGCTGGGGCAGCGGGAGCGAGAGGCCCCGCCCCATTTGGGGGCGTGGTTAATCGTGGCCACGCCCACCGCGCTATATAAAGGCGGCGGCGGGCGGCCCCCCGGGCCAG